GAACGAGAAGGAGGTAAGGATCTGTGTGTTTGTAGTATTCCTTAACAGTTTATTTGTTCTCTTTTTTGTTGCGTCGCTATTCGTTCTTCTAACTCGATATTTCTGCACATTTGCAGATCAAGAGCATGCTACACTAATATTCTTGGTATTATGTTATTTTTTAGAATTAGATCCCAGTAGTGGTTAAAATTCATTAAAAAAATACATTCATATTTTCCAATATCGACAGCATTTTGGTTCATCCATTTTTGTCAACATTTAGCCTTCAGGGTTCTTACGGTCATTCAAAACCTGGACAAGTCATGGAAATTCAAAATGCTAATTCCAGGCCCTGGAAAAGTTATGGAAAACAATATTTTTCCCAAAGTTTTGGAAAAGTCATGGAAATGTAACTAAAGTTGCATCAAATATAATTTATATTTAATCTAATCGCTGAAATAGTAATACTATAATGATAATAAATACTGTATCGTAATGAAATGTAAAATGGCATTTAACTGTCGAGGTATTTTGCTGGTGAGAGATTTGAGTTGCTTCAGCGTGTAGAAGCTAGTAAGCCTACTATTTGATTTGTTTTAGAGAGGCACGACATGTTTCAGACCTTATTTTCCTGTTCCATGTTCAAATAAACCATTTTCAGTGGTACCGCTGAGAAAGAGTCATTTTTTTGGTCATGGAAAATGAGGTAAAGGTCATGGAGAAGTCATTGAAAATCATTTGTAAAAAAGTGTATGAACCCTGAGCCTTATAAAAACTACATTTTCACTGCAGACAAAACCGTTATCTCTCCTAAGTGTCATCTGAGAAAATAGGTAAACTACGTTTTTGAGAACCAAACTTTTTCATGATTTGTGCCCTTTTTTATTTCTCTCCACAGATTGATGTGCTGAACAAATATCTGTTCCTGACATCCAAGCCCATGATCTACCTGGTTAACCTCTCAGAGAAGGATTACATCAGAAAGAAGAACAAGTGGTAGGTTTGCTTTCACAGTGTGATTATCCTATACACTGTTTTAGTATTCAGCTATTGTTGAACATACAGAATAAAACCTCACCCTGCCGTCTGTTTTTCTCAGGCTGGTGAAAATCAAGGAGTGGGTAGACGCTCATGACCCCGGCGCGTTGGTCATCCCTGTGAGTGGAGCTCTGGAGTGTAAACTGCAGGATATGGAGTCTGACGAGGAGAGGAACAAGTACTGCGAGGAAATGAAGACGCAGAGGTGAGACAGGAACTCAATGTAGCAACAATATCATAAATATAGTTGTTTTTTTAAATGGTTTAACTGCCACTAATGTGTGGTCATTAATATAAATTACTATCATTATTAATCTGTTATTTTATAAAATGTCAGAATGGTAAAAAAAAATCCACCAATGTATTCTAAATGTCACTAAATAATGTATCTGCAATAGAAAAGTCTCACACCTTTTTGTCCTTATGTTTAAAGTGTCAATATGACTATTTAGCAAAAGGTAAACTGCTTCATCATTGCTCCTCTGTGCCTCTAGTGTCATGACTAAAATAATCAAGGCGGGCTACGCAGCGCTGCAGCTGGAGTACTTCTTCACAGGGGGACCAGATGAGGTGCGAGCGTGGACCATCAGGGTACGTGCTGCCATATAAAAGAATGTGTCTTTAAAGTTTATCATTTTAATGTGACCTCCAAATGAAATGTTTATTCCGAAGTCCCCTTTAGTGTTGTTTGAAAGGGTCATTTATTTACATTTGATTTCTTTTAAGCAGAATAAATATTCTGGATTTTGTCCCAAAAAAATCACTCTTGTATATATGTTGGTCTTTAGTGGCCACCTTCAAAGGCTCCAGTGATATTTTCTCTTTTGTCGCCTTCATATCATGTATATAGACATATTTGTCTCCAATGTTTGATAAGTTCTTCGAGGTAGCGGCATCTTGTTATATTTTCTGTTATGTTTTTTAAATGTTCTTTTGTGTTTTGCTCCAACAGAAAGGGACCAAGGCTCCTCAAGCTGCCGGAAAGATCCACACTGACTTTGAGAAAGGCTTCATCATGGCGGAGGTGATGAAGTACATTGACTTCAAAGAGGAAGGCAGTGAAGTTGCAGCTAAGGTGTGTGTGTTTTCAAAAGGATGTGCCTGAACTCACGCACTGTTGGAGTTCTGCCAATATCAGCATTGACTCTCCGAGGAAACATCCTTGACTATAATTCAAATGTGTCCTCTCTTTCACAGTCTGCTGGAAAATACCGGCAACTGGGCAGGACCTACACGGTGGAGGACGGCGACATTATCTTCTTCAAATTCAACACACCCAGTGTCCCTAAGAAGAAACCATGAGCAAACACAAACACCAGAGGGAGAGCTCAGAGCACGGTTCAGTCTGACCCCAAAAAGCCACGCTGTCTGATGGGTTTCATTCTTTACTTGAATTCAGAGGATCAACTCAGGACCTCCAATCATTTGTAGTAATATTTGGAGAACATTTTCAAACTACAATGATTTATAATTGAACTGAAAAATACAGAATTCAATGCTTTTACTTTTGGATAATTTAAGCCACACTTCTCAAAGACTCTTATTTTGAAATGTATCTTTAAGAACACATTTGATTCATTAGATCAATAACAGCGTGTCCTACTGTTATTACCTTCATAATAAACATACTGATTAATTGGCAAAAACTCACATCATAACCATACTCATGATAAACACTTTTTTACAAACACATGTGCTTTATCTATAAAGCACATATGAAGCTTCTTAATTTTTAAAAGAAATGTTTAAACTGTGCACTGATAAGGATAACGTACAACACGTGTTGTTAGCCAAAGGTACCTATTCTGGATTAAGTAAAGGCCATCAAGAATGAGTTTCGGAAATGTTTCCCTAGAATTTAAGAGACATTAATTATTTCCTCAGTTGCTTATGCTTTTCACAATAAAGTCATAATTATGCTTAGATGATTATCCCAATATGCTGAAATATACACAGGTTGTAACGCTTTTGACCGGTGCTTTGACTATAACAGAGAATGAAAGCCATCATCCAGTGTTGCTCTTCAGGACAGTACTGTATTGTATTCTGAGGGGAGTAGTATTGTTATTTTGGAAAAAGCAAAGCAGGCATCCCTGACAGAGTGGAATGGGACACCTGAATGGAGACTGATGTTATACTCACTGCTTTTATTATTGACTTTGGTTTGGGGTGGTTCAAAAAAACTAAAAGCTTATGTACTCCACGCTGTGTTAAAGCTTTAATGTAAATCGGCTACAAGTTTGCTTTGTGGATCACCTGGACTTTACAGCTTCATAATGCCTCTTTTGTCACTTCACTGCCTCCTCAGTGTGGATGTCTTTATTTTCAAGAGCACCATACAATTATAAACATCTTGTGGACGATATGAACATGAGGAAGCCAAGATGAAATAAATCCCATCTTCATCAAAATGCATGTGTCAATAAAAAGGAGACAAACCTGCCATTGCGTTGTGAATTTCAGTTTTTGTTCCTGATGTTAGACTCAAGCTACAACAAAAGGGAATGGACCATAGCAACAAACATGTCATGCCAGCTAAAGGCTAAAATGTGGCAATTGAAAAATGTCCAGCCATGTTTACAGGGGTTCTCTGACCTCTCACCTCAATATATTTGAATGAAAATGGATTGGGTGGAAAATAAATGACCCCAAAACTATGTTGTATGAATTACTACTATGCTAAATTGCCCATAGTGCCTCACTGAAAATGTTGCTTACAAAAAGTAATGTCATGATTTTCAATAGCTTCAATGTGATGTGACCCATTCACTCCCACTGCAGTGTTTTTTATTTAAAACTCTTGGATGTGTCCAATGGTTTCCATGTCATGTGACCCGTTCACTGCATTAAGGAAGCATTGTTTTACTACACTGGATAAGTAGGACACATCTTGTGACTTACACATTTCACACTCTAGTTCAAGTTGCATTTTGACTTTTGGTTTCTGTTACCTCAGTGTGCCAAGCAACACCAATCCACCATTATGGTCAAAATATGTCCTTAATCAAAATAGTATCGTTCATGTTGTTTAATTTGCATATTTGTTTTTCCCGTTTCATGTATCACTCCGTCACTTGTATACTCTGCTTCTTTGACTACTGAGATGCTGTAACAACAACGTTGTTATGTGAATATTGGCCCAAAGTGATCTGTGATTATGTGCGACAGCTCAGTATAATATATATTTTACAACTTCATCGTAGCTCACTGTGTATAATAATGAAGGGAATGGCTAAGAAATACCACAAATAGCTTTGTGATAATGTAAATGTTCATTTGGATAATCATTTGAACACGAACTCGACTTTTGTAAGCAGCTACAGGTTTTCTTAAGTCTGTAATAACGTTTTAAAGAACTTCCTTGTGGTAGTAATGGACACCAACTGGATCTACAGTAAACATAAAACTTGATAAACTAACTCTCGGGACTCGTCTTTCGCATGTTTATGTGTTTTGGCGAAGAGAGCGCGCACTGAATTAAAACAACGCCGGCGGTTTAAAATATATAACTTATTTAAACATTACAAAGGAAAATATATTGTTTTATTTCGAATTAAACGGCGCATTTTAAACTCCATCTCTGTTGGGAATTCTTCAACTGCATTCCATCTCTTCTCCGCTCAACAACAAACAGGAAACACACGTACTACGAAAAACCGATTGACATCCCTCTTACGCAATGGCGTTCGCCAAACCTCTTGCTCAGCCAATCACATAAGAGAAGAAGGGCGGGACGTCCTGTAATGTGATGCAAATTCGACGGTCAAGCCTGTTAGTCCCACCTTTTTGTGTTTCCCGCACCGTCAATCAAAATAGAAAAAAATCGACCCGAATTCACCGATCAACACTAGCCCGCCTTTGATAAAATAATCATGTTTGGAGTTTAGTTTTCAGATAATCCTCCCGGTTACTACCACTCACGCTATGCCTGGTACGTAAACCATTAGCGCAGCGAAGCGTGCAACTAATCGGTGAGTTTGTGCAACAGCGAAGCAAGCTGCGTCTTTTTATCTTTTGCTCTGCTGCTAACAAGCTAGATATGGTTAGCTAACCGAGCTAGCTGGCTAGCCACGGAGTTGACAAAGTAAACAGTCAATCTAGGCCGATATCGCCATACAATCTTGGTTGCAAAGTTGCATTTCGCACTCAGCTCCTTTTGGACTGGAGAGTGGGGATGTTTTGCGGGCTTTTCTGGCAGGCAGGAGTTGAAGATTACAGAGTTTTGCTGAGTTTCCCCCTCTATCTCTGCTAGCGCCAGAGCAGCCTCTGAAACAAGGAGAAATGGCGTCCGCGGACGTGGACAGCAGTCAAAGCGAGTTTCTGCAGCCCGGCGGCGCCACGGAAACACAGGTATCCGACATTTTCTAGCCCGTCTTTCTCGCTCGCTTTCGATTGCTGGTTGTGTTTTTGTGAGCATGAAGTTCACACGTTTTACAATTTTGATGGCATGGGGTGAACGCCGTACACTTCCTGTGTTCCCCTCAATAACGGCCACCCACTTTACCCCTGTAAAACCCGCCCATAGTGGGTAGGACACTGGAGTCAGTCACTTGGACTCGTTGGAAGATAGCCGGTGTACCTTTGGCTCTGAAGATGCTTGGGTGTTTTAATATTGCAGGGATATCGTCCTTAATCAAAACTGTAGCGTTCAATTGTGCTGTAACAGCCACCCATCCCCCACTCTCTGCTCTCGACCATTTCTGAGCCTGTTATCTTCACTCTGTGTTGCTTGTGGCTGTTGCATCGTTTGCATCAGCACAAATCCTACATGATCCCCCCCTCCTTATGATTTACTGTCTTTTGGTGTAGCAGCACAATCTCTGAATCTATAACTGATCTCAGGACAAAAACCAGGCTGGTTCTGTGTTCCTGTGATCTAATCAAAAGCTGAGATGAGTCCTCTTGTTGAAGTGTGATCTGTCCTTGTTAATCTTGAGTGTTGATTTCAATCCCAGACGACAGATATGTCAGCCATTCAGCTGACGGGCTCAGACCGATGGGAAGTGTTAACTCCGGTCTCATCTGGGAAGGAAGACCAGGGAATCCTTCACATTCAAAACTCGGGAATTGTCACGTCCAATGGACAGTATGTACTTCCTCTTGGGAGTCTGCAAAACCAGCCCATTTATGTTACAGCATCTGGGAATGATGGTTCAGCCAATGGAGTGTCAGGCATCCAGTATCAGGTAAACAACTTCTTTTTTTTTAAAACACAACAAAGATACAGTCTGTTCAGGCGATGATCTTATTTTAAACCACCGCTCCTTCTTCCAGGTAATCCCCCAAATCCAAAATGCAGATGGGACACTGTCAGGATTCACACATGGATTGGATGATGGCACGGGGCAGATCCAGCTCATCCACGATGGCGGTCAAGGCAGCATTGGGATCAGCTGTGCCACGACGACGACCTCTGACCTCTTGACGCAGGCCGGGCAGGTCCAGTCCATCCAAGGGGTCTCACTAGGGGGGTCCACGTACACCGGCTCCATGGGGCTGCCGGGCAACATAACGTTCGTCCCCATAAACAGTGTGGACCTGGAGTCTCTAGGACTGACCGGAGCACATACGGTCCCCATCGCAACTGGGGTAACGGCTGAAGGTCAGCTGATCATGGGCGGCCAGACGCTGGACAATCAGGGTCAGGATGTTAAGCAGTCGATGGTGACTGTGAGCGGCGACCACCACCAACTCTACGTGCCAACCACCACCTCCTCCTCCAACACCTCCCATCTCCCGGAGACCATCGACGGCACCGGGGTCCTGACCCAAGCCACCGCCGTATCTGCAGGCGTGTCCGACCCATCACAGGAGAACTACAACTCCCAGAACCACATGCAGCAAATCCAGGTCAGAGTGTGACTTTAACTTGATATCTGTGTTCGTGTGTCAGGAAGGCCCCGTGACAAATCTGATTGGTCAGCAGTTATTTAAGTCAACAGTGTTGATTAGTCATTTTTTTGGTTTAGATAGTTCCCAGTTTAAATCAATCTTAACATAATTTTTTTTGACTATTTGGAGTTAAAAAAAAAAAATACAGTAGTTTATTGAAAAAAGTGGGTTTATTTTTTTTATAACTTTTTTTGTTTTTGTTTCAGACAATAATACAGTACAATATATCTTTCAGTCACATTCACATTTTCAGTTTTTCCAGCTGTATCAATACAGTGTCATTTTTGTCATGGTAACAGGAGTTGGGTTGCAAAATTCCGGGAATTTTCAAAGATGGAAACTTTCCATGGGAATTTATGGAAATAAACTGGGAATTTTCTAATTTGAAGGTTGCCTCTTCATAGGGAACTTAAATATAGTTGGGGGAAGTATATTTTAGCATAATCTTGACTTAAACAAACAGATGCCATTCAAGTAGACTTTAATATCCATGCCATTCCTCAATCACATGCACATAGCATACTGCTTACTGCATGGCTATTGAGACCACAGCCCCTACAGGCACTGTGCATTCCTCCATCACATGCACAGATGATTTCTGGAAGACTGCACCACACTTTTTATGTTTTTTTAATTGTATCATTTTGCATGGATGTTTTCTTATGACAAAACAAAATGTTTATATTTATGCTTGGATATTATACAATTCGATTACATTACCCTCAATTCCCAGTTAGTTCCCATTATTCCGATGGAAAGTTTCCAATATGGAATATGTGACCTGCTCTATCGAAATCAGTCGCATTGACCTGAAGACACATTTTGAGTTGTATACACTGCTGGAAAGAGGAGATTCATAGCGTTCTAATGATATCAGGATTGTTTTTGTACTCCAAACATTAAGCAAAATATGTCACATTATATAATGATAATCATTTTGAGAAAAAAGCCTTTAAAGTTTTCTCTTCTCTGGAATCTCTGTCTCTCTGTCTGTGTGTGTGTGTGTGTGTGTGTGTGTGTGTGGTGTGTGTGTGTGGTGTGTGTGTGTGTGTGTGTGTGTGTGTGTGTGTGTGTGTGTGTGGTGTGTGTGTGTGTGTGTGTGTGTGTGTGTGTGTGTGTGGTGTGTGTGTGTGTGTGTGTGTGTGTGTGTGTGTGTGTGTGTGTGTGTGTGTGTGTGTGTGTGTGTGTGTGTGTGTGTGTGTGTGTGTGTGTGTGTGTGTGTGTGTGTGTGTGTGTGATGTGTGTGTGTGTGTGTGTGTGTGTGTGTGTGTGTGTGTGTGTGTGTGTGTGTGTGTGTGTGTGTGTGTGTGTGTGTGTGTGTGTGTGTGTGTGTGTGTGTGGGCTGTCCCGAATACCATTTTTCGGGCTCCGGATATTCGGTAGTAATCAGCAGCGACTATTCGGTGCGGAGAGATCTTCTTTTTTTTTTTAAATAACTTTTTTTTTCATAACACGCTCCGAGACACCTGACAACACGCTGTTAAGCAGAAGCGCAGAAAGAGCATACTATTACGATTTATATTTATGTATTGTCTCAGTACTCGCATACATTAAAACTAAATGTGTCCTCTGCATTGAACCCACCCGCAGCGCAGCGCCCGGGGACCAAATCTGGTTCCAAATTCCGTCTATAACGTTTTACAACCTGAAGATACAAAACACATATTTCTGTTATAACAACAATACTTTTAATAACATAGCCGTAACAGTAGGCCTAACAGGGTAACACTTGTTACCGATACAGTAAACAGTATTTAAATAAATGAAGGACGAAAAATAAATGAATTGGCCAATTGGCGTATGCCAATAATTGCCTTAGCCCCAGATGTTCCCACATTGCTCCTATTATTTTCACTATTCGGATAAAATTGAAAAACTAATATAAAAAAACAATTCGGTTGCTTGCTTGCAACTATTTTCCAAGCAAAGTAAGAGCACGATTTTTATCATGTGTAACGTTACTGTTTAAAGGGATAGTGGAAATCTGCGAATTTTGGGTTTAACTTATGTATTTTTATTAAAAATAAGCATAATAAACAATTTTTTTTAATTTCATGCGCCTAGTTTCATTTTATTTTCAATTTTACTGCGCCCTCTCAATGAAACGAAATACTTCGGGAATCGTCGGGAATCTTCGGGTGATGACGAGAACAGAGGAAGACGGGCACAAACAATGGCGGACATTCAATAGCATTTGCATGTGAATAGCCGACCTTTATTATGGTGAATAGATGTGTCAATACTTTATACCGAGTATATTGCCATAAATATGATGATTGATTATCAGTAAAAAATTCTACGTGACACAACGACATTGGATTAACCTTGAGATGCGTTTTTATTCCGTTGAACACAACTTTTGATCACAAATCAAAAAAGGTAAGACGTAATTATTGTAATATTTTTGGAACCGGATGTTGTTTACTTTCTCTTTTCTGGCTGATAGCTCCAGGAATTCGAGGTCTTACAGTGATGACATTACATGTGTGGAATCTGTGGAGTCTCAGCTTTAAATCGTATATCTTGTTTGTGCAGTTAAGATAGTAATAAGGGCATTTCTACCGTGTGTTGTGTGTAAAAAAGCGTTAGCATTAGTTAGCATTGTTTCGCTCAATGCTAATTCAAAGGCTTGGTATTACTCTTGTGTTTCTAGCTAACAATTGTTCTCATTGTCAGTTAGCGGAGTTTCTTACCTTTTAAAAGGGTATGAAACATTAATAGTTTCATAAATGTTAAGAAGCCCTGAGACATGTGAGAGAAAAAAAACTGTGGGAGGGGTCCACTGGGGGGACCTTCGGGCTTAACTGGTTAACAATGATTCATATTTGTAAAGGCTACAGGTGATCTTAAGATGCGTGAGCTATGCTTAGGGACCTACCAGTCAAGATTATTTGTGCGTAGGGGTGCATCATCTGGGGCCTGGTCCTGGTCATCCTCGCCATTGCCCATGCCGTGAACCATCACCTCGGGCTCGGGCTCGAACAAATAAGGACGTAATGGTCCATCGTCTGGCTCAATATTGTCACCATCGTCGCTTACTGAACCGGATTCAGATTCAGTTCCTAAAACGACATTTTCGTAGGAAAGCCGAGAGGATGTTTCTGACTCGCTATCATCACTGGATACCTCGTACAATCCTTCTTCTTTGTCTGGTATATTTGCCCTTCCACGTTCATTCTGCATAGACGCCATGGTTTGTTATCGTATCGTCTTTCTGAGTTTTCGTCACTTCTGGTTTGGCTGAGTGGAACATTTCGTTTCTAAAAAACTTCGGGGAAGCTGCAATAAAGTGCTTCTAACATGCGTAAGGCAATTATTATTATTATTATATATTTTTAATCAGGTGTGATTGTTTTGGTACGTAATTATGCTTGTATATAAGTTAAAACGAAACTATTTGAGGTTCCATTTCCACTATCCCTTTAAACGGCGGATAAAGCAGCTTCATCATGGCAACTTGACAACAGCTAAGCTAAGCTAGTACTTACAGCATCCAGGTGAGTTGTTGTGCCACCGTGGTAGGCCAGTTTCTTGTCGCATATTTGGCACACTGCCTTCTTCTTACCGTCGTCCAATTTAAAATGGTCCCACACAGCTGAATTCTTCGGCATTTTGTGTTCAGGTGTGTGAAGCGAGGTGAAGCGAGCCGTTTGCGTTCGTGATTGAGTGAACGCGATGTCAGGAGCACAGGCTGATATTGTATATATTTCCGCATTTTAACAGTGCAATTCAAAAGTATAAATATAGTATAAGAATATGGCAATTCGCCTTTATTGATAGCATACATTTAGGGAGAAAAAAAAAAATATTGAAAAAAAACGAATATCCGAATAATGAAATTGAAACCCGAATAGTTGGCCAACGAACGAATAGTCGAATATTCGGGTACAGCCCTAGTGTGTGTATGTGTGTGTATTGTGTTTGTTCCCCGGGGAAAACCGTCACGAGAAACACCGACTGTTGTTACGCCTGCTGTGACATCAAGTTACCCCGTTCTCCGCTTGTAATTATGCCGTCACAACAGCATTTCCGCTAGACCAGGGCTGAGAGGGCGTCCACCCCGAGAGACGGGGGGGGGTGGGTGCTTGAATTTTGACTTGAGCCGTCCCTTAGGGCGGTGGTGGCGAAGTCGATAGGGACTTGGCTTGGCAACTGGAAGGTCACCAGTTCAAGTCCCAGCAAGACCAAGTGCTACCGAGGTGTCCCTGAGCAAGGCACCGTTCCCTACACTGCTCCCCGGGCGCCGTTCAAAATGGCAGCACACTGCTCCTAACACTAGGATGGGTCAAATGCAGAGAAACAATTTCCCCATGGGGATTAATAAACTATATCAATATCAATTATAGATACTGTCTTTTTACGTTAGTGAGCCGGATCATTTGGCTCGGCTCTCTTAAAGCGCCGGCTGTTTCGGCTCCCAAACGGCTCTTCATGTTACCACAGTTTACCACGGAGCCTCAGTTTCGCCGCTGCGAGGCTCTGGTGGTCGCAGCTCACTTGCGTGCTCCACTAACCCCCCCCCCCCGCTCTTCAATACTCCGAAAATAATCCCACCAGACTCCTTTGCCCCTCCAACAGATTGATGTCCTTGCCCTTTTTCCTTTTCGTCATTTCAAGCGATAGAAACTCTCGATCTTCTCTCGAATTATTAATATTTTTGGACGCCCTCGGCTCGAGTTCAGGGCGTCCCGTGCTGAATAATGGCGTCAAATGACGGCAAGACACCCCCCTGGCGGAAACACTGCGTCACAAGCTTCAAAGTTGTATTTATCATCTGAATTTGCCGAAACAAGTTTAATATTCTGAAAGCCAAGACTTTGTTTATTTGAAATCAGATGAAAAGAAACTGTAACGGACCCTGCCGTGTTATCTATGATTACTATACGCCTTGCGTTCATAATTTCAGCCGGAGGGAGGGGGGGCGGCGCGGCGCTGCGGAAGAGCAGGGTGCGAGTGAGGGCTGTCATCGTCCCTTTACAAGCTTCAAACATGTATTTATCGTGATATTTTGGCAATAAAAGTTTCATATTCTGAAAGCCAAGACTTTGTTTATTTAAAATCAAACAAAACGCACGAACCCCGAAAAACTATTTTTTTTACGCAAATCCACGTTTATTTTGAAAGGAGCCGTTACGACTTCCGACTGAGTTCGATAGAGCGGGTCACATAATTCCAAAATTCCGCCCCTTTGCGACCCTAAACAGGAGCCAGGCATTGTTTGGGCAACAGCATGTAGACATTTCAAACCAAAACACTCCTTATGTGGAGGACATTTAAGTAGAAATAGATTGATTTGGTGGATCTCCAATTTGAGTATCGCTGCTTTAAGGCCACAATACAGCTTACTGTATATTCAACAGAATATAATACTGTTACTGGCCAGGAATCTTTTTAGTCAAGCTAAGCCGCCTCCTTCTACGAATGGTTTGTGTTATTTGTTGCCCTTGCACATGTTTTTATACTGCATAATTACATTTGTACAGACTGCACTTCTTTGATCAGTTGCAGCTTGTGAAAGCAATGCTGTTGTGAAAGTGTTTCGAAGCTTCCCTCCCACGGTGTCAACAACCACAGATGAATTCTCAGCTTGTTTGAAAAACTGTAGCTTGCCATTTATTAAAAATGTCAGGGATAAAAAAGCATTGTACTGTTGAACCAGGACTTAGCAGATAGAAACATGACATTAGTGCTGCTTTTTCATCCTTTGTGTGTTTATTCTCATGATTCTGCAGGTCTCATCGTCTCACGCCACCACTATGTCGCAGCCCATCCTGCACCTGTCTGGGGACGGGCAGGGGGCTCAGGGTCAGGACCTGAATGCAGGAGGACAGACTCTGCAGAGCGTGCAGCTGGTGAACCCCGGGACCTTCCTCATCCAGGCCCAGACCGTCTCCGCCACCGGGCAGATCCAGTGGCAGACCTTCCAGGTGACCAACAGGAGTTTCTACTTGTTCTTAAAGCAAGACTGTCACAATATTCGATTTTCACTACATGATTTAATAGCAAAATAATTCATGAAAAACCCATATGTCGCAAACTATGGAAAGTTCGGAGAGAAAACATATTGTTATCGGTTAAATTCAACTTGTGTTAATTGTGAATTAAACTCATGATGCAAGGGAAGGAAGCAGAGAAAGGGTCTGGAATCGAAGCTGAGCTTAACAGTACTTGTATGCTACTGTTTTAATTTTTTCACTTTCTAAGGGCTGTTTTTATATGTTTTTGAATATCATTTTATAATGCTGTTTCTTTTGCACCATGTCTTATGCTTTAAATGTTTTTTGTAAATCACTTTCTTTATTGTTAAAATGTGCAATATATATGTTTTTACCTTGCCTTTTTAAAATATAAAACTGCCCACTAATTGAGAGAAAATGCAACGACATGAAGTAAAAAAAACAAACAAGTACTCAAGGCCCACGCAAAATGATTAACAAACTTTAAATATTTCCTTTATTTTAATATAATGGCTATTGTCAATACCAAACCTTCTATTTATAAAGCAACACAATTAACTTCATTTTTCCCCTGGACTCACTTAAAGGTGGGGTAGGTCATTTTGGAGAAACCAGCTCGAGTGCGCTAGAATTTGAAAATACACAGCCGGAAGAAATCTGCTACTTCCTTACAGAGCCCCTCCTCCAACACACACGAACACGCACATGACCAATACAGAACCGCAGTGGCGCGTCCTGAAACCCGGAAGTAAGTTAGCATTTTTACCACGTCCGGTTCCTTCGACAAAAAGCAATGCAATTTCTCCATAGGATTTTGGAAAATAGCTCCAAATAATATCTGTTTGACACAAATTGAAGAGACGGATCACGTTTTGTTCTACGACATTAAATACATCAGCAGCTGGTGATTTTTGAAGAGTTTACGTGTCTGAAAAACGATGGTTGTTAACAAGTGGCTGAATAGGACTACAGAAGTTGTCCAGGCCGTTTTACGTCATTACACCGAACACGTAAAACACTCCCGCTAAGTTTGTTTGCCCTGTTCTGCTTGAAAGCAAGTACCTGCCTCCTGCAAACTGCTCAAACAAACGCTTCAACTTGAACCATTTAGAATCTGTATGTTTGAATATGGATCTTAAGTTGGCGTGACGTTGAAGCAGCGACCCTGCTGTAGTTAGTTTATAGCATAACGTTAGCATTTTGCTTCTGGCGACTAGATTTATGATTAGAAAATTATAAAAGTAGGGTAGACATGTGGATATTATCCGGCTGAACAAAACGTGATCCGTCTCTTAAATGTGTGTCAACCACAGACCTTATTTCAAGCTATTTTCCAAAATCCTATGGAGAAATGCATTGCGTTTTTGACGAAGGAACCGGAAGGAGTTTACATCCGGGTTTTAGGACGCGTCACTGCGGTTCTCTATGAGGGCACGAGATAAGTTTGTGCACAGATGGAAGGCTGACAGGCAGGTAGGCCATCCAGTTATTTTAGCCGGGCCGGCTCATATGATTGGTCGTGCTTTTTACAGTACTACGGCTTCCACAGATGAATTTTTTTGTATGGATTTTTTGTCAAAGCACTTAAGATATTCATTGCTATCGGGATGTTAAGAGCATTCCATGGAATATAACAAAAAGTGTATCTCGAGCCGGTTTCTCAAACTTAACTACCCCATCTTTAAATGATCAAAAGTTGTGTTTTTACTGTGAACATGTCAGATCACTAACCTGCCCCTCTCCTCTCTCAGGTTCAGGGGGTGCAGTCTCTCCAGGGCCTCCAGCTGCCCCAGGGCCAGGCTCAGGCCCAGCAGCTGACCCTGGCCCCGGTCCACAACCTCTCTCTGGGCCAGGGGGGCCACGTCAGCCTGCCCAACCTGCAGACCGTCACAGTCAACTCCATCACACAGAGCGGAGTTCAGTACTCACAGGGGGAGGACAACAGTCCAGCTGGTACGGCACACCCACACATCATCAACAAACTCACACATAATTAGGAAAATCCTAAATCAGAATGCAAAACTCTTAAGGTTGGTTGAGCATATTTCAGACTAGTGGAACATCCAAAATACACATCTGAGTGCTTATTTGACTACACTTGTCTATTTGCATCTGTAGATTTGCATATTTAAAAATGCAACTTGTAATACTTAACAAACGTCTGAATGTTTGTTATAAGCTGGGAAACGTTCATGTTTATCTATCTACCTATTGACCTGTAGTGTCTCCCCCTAAATCACACTAAGAGACCCTTAGTCTACACGTTGTCTATTCACCACTGTTGATTTCCCTAAATTCACTAGATAATACCTCATCTGCATGTTGCACCGTAGAACAGATGTTTGTCACTGGATCTCCATCCACTCTTCCACAGTAGGAGGCTCCACCCTGCATCATTTCCTAGTTATGGCTTTCTTGCCAGCTATCAACAGTATTTGTACAAGATATTATGTATGTAGTGAAGATTTTCCTCTGTAGAATTGCCCAGATAGAGGGCCGTGTAGTCCATAGGACTCATATCTCAGTATCTTTTGCAAAACCTTGTGTACCCATTCCCAGAACTGAAGTATTTGTTGGCATTAGAACAGAGGTTTTAATGTCAGTAATCATCTTGGAGGTTTCATTAGGTTATCTTTTGATTCTAAAACCTTTCCCTTTGGTTCAGGTATCCACATCAAGGAGGAGCCGGACTCTGAGGAGTGGCAGCTGAGCGGAGACTCCACGCTGAACCCGAGCGATCTGAACAACCTGCGCGCTCAGCTGGGGGACGAGGACATGGGGGGGGACGGGGGGGAGGGCAAGAGGCTCCGCAGAGTGGCCTGCACCTGCCCCAACTGCAAGGAGTCCGGGGGAAGGTGTGAGAAAACACACACACACACACACACACACACACACACACACACACACACATTACAGATACCAGGAGGAGTAGACGTTGAGCTCATCTTTGTTCATAAGAAAAAAACAATAAAGTCAGGAGAAACTAAATGACGCCCTTAAAGTTGATTAAACACCATATGCAGGTTTATTCAGTGACAGACAATGTTGATACAACAATAAAAAGGTATTTCGAGGCGCCTTTCAGTGATGCACACACGTGGTTCATTGCAGAGGCTCTGTAAGTGATGTAAATTCATATTTCCTTATGAAACAAATTCATGAAAATTGTTTGGACAGGGCTCGACATTATAAATGGCCCGCTGGCCCGGAAGCGCTATTTAGACCCCCCGGGCCAGCATAACGTACTTTCCACTTGCCCGCTTGGGCCACTAAAAATATTGCTCTAAAACAAAATGGTCCTGTGGTATTGGTATTTTGACTAGCACTTGTGTTAAATTGTTTTGTTTATCAACGCTACAACATAGCGTTCCGTGAGTTGGTTGTCGTTGTTGGGTGAAAAGCAAACAGCTGTTTGCTGCGGAGCGCAGCACGAGCAGGCTCCCGTGAGCGGGAGCACGCTCCTTCACTACAGACTTTCGCGCAACCTAACCATACCACAGTAACCGGCCAAACGCCGGGCAAAAAACAATCTTCAAATAAAAGAAAGTCACCGGAGGAGTTAACGGAGAGTGACAGAGTATGAGAAGAAGAGGGAGAGAAAGTTTCAGCCACACTGGCTTGATCGATGGAGTTGGCTTCAATATGATGATATAAACAAGGTATTTTGTCTACTCTGTACATCAATGCCGACCTATGCTGACAAGTAAGTGAAGAGTAGAAAATGTAAAGGTATATTGGCTTCAGGGAAATGTCCCAGCAGGAGAATGAATGTTCTAATCTAATCTATTACATAGCCATTACATTTATAACTCCTGATAATGAAAGGAAGGCAGAAAGTGTATTATACAAATAATAATACTCATAGCTGAAATGTCACCCTCCTTTTTTTCTTTAACAATGACCACAATATAATTACTGTAATAAACCAAATATGAACAATTGAGGAAAATGAGGAAGAACTGATTGTTCAAATGTTGTAGTACAAGTAGTAATGTAGTTTGTGCATAAATTACTATTGCAACAAATGTTTTTCATTTTCTTCATTATTACTTTTTTTTTGGACGAATGCTCCGGGCCAGTGGTGCGGCCGGTGATAATGAAAACGTTCCCCTTAATGTCTTCCCCTGTTTGCGTAATGCTTAGTGAGCACAGTGATGTAGGATTAGCATTATTTGATTATACAGCTTTTTCTTTTTGTTTCTTTTAATCCTTTTTTAAGTAAGAAAGTAAAAACACATTTTACATTTTTTAAATAGTTGCTGAAAACACATGACTGTAGAATATATAGTGCTGAATTGTGGAGTTTTTTTCGGCATTTCCATGTTCAGGTTTTTTTGGGCAGGTCTTACATCAAGACTTGTTGATGCACTGAAGACCCTCTTAACATAACCCCTCCCCTAACTCTATAAAGACAGGAGGTCAGAGCTTCAATGGTTCTCTCACTCAATCGCGAGTTGCGACACTTACTTACCGAAACCAGTGATGTATCGGCCATCTGGAATACCGGGACAAATCCAGTTGTGTCCCTGCATTGGTTGCCTGTTAAAAAGACTCAAGTTTCAGAGTAGAGGACACCGTTTTTATTTCGATTTTGAAAACTAATTTCATACACATGTCCATATTTTATTGATTTGATCTTGGCGGGGTGTTTTAAAACACATTATTCTGTGGTGTGACGTCCAGAACAAACGTATTTCTGCTTTACACAACTTTCATCTCTTTGTTAAATTGCGTATTCCCAGCCTAGGATTATTTGTCCCCCACAGTCTGTGTGTGTTCTAACCATTACACATCCTTCCTGCCTTTCACAGAGGGTCGGGCATGGGGAAGAAGAAGCAGCATATCTGCCACATCGTGGGCTGCGGGAAGGTTTACGGGAAGACGTCTCATCTCCGAGCTCACCTGCGCTGGCACAGCGGAGAGAGACCCTTCGTCTGCAACTGGATGTTCTGTGGGAAGAGGTTCACCCGGAGCGACGAGCTGCAGAGACACCGGAGGACACACACAGGTGAGAGGACATGCTTTTCATATCAAATCACAACACAGTTTTATGTTTGAAGCTCGTTGTAAATGAGATGACATGCATGGTTCCTCCAGTGTCATACCAGCATGCAAGACCTCAGTTGACCCCTCGCTGGGCCTAAGGTGTTTTCTTTCAAATGTGTTCTTAAGATGTTTACTCAACTGAAGTAATAAAGCTGTGTGAGCATGTTGTATTAAACACTACTGAGGTTGGGTGAGTGATATAGCAAATGATCTCATGTTCACAAAGGTTAGTGTACAGCTGGTTGGTGGAGAGGCAGACGGGGTGAGAGATGGAATTGAACTCAGACCAACATGTGTATAGTTTGTTTGCTGGTGAATAAATGTTACAACTCCTAATGTAACTAAAAGGATTCAGGCTAGCCCAAAGCTAGCAGCAACAACAAAGGCTCAAGCTTAAGGTGGGCTGAGATTTAAGGTGGAATAGCTATTCTCATGTGACAAGCTGCCACTCTGAGTTTAAGCGGCAGCATCAGCCTGTTATCTCTGCTATAAAGTTGGTCAGTATAACATGAAGGTCTATTGGATATTGACTAGCTTTTGGTGCCGGCCTTAAATGGCCTGGTCTAATAGCACTTGGTAATCCTGTTGATCAGTTAGGGTTAAAAGATGTGTGGTAACCAGTACATTAGGGCTGGGCAATGTATGGATCAGTGTTTCCGCCAGACCAGGGCTGAGAGGGTGTCCACCCTCTTCATGTTACCACAGTTTACCACGGAGCCTCAGTTTCGCCGCTGCGAGGCTCTGGTGCTCGCAGCTCACGCGCGTGCTCCACTAAAAAAAACCCCGCTCATCGCGTCCAAATCGCGCACGTTCCGTGTTGCCTGTAGCAGGCACCGCCGATGTCGGGGAAACAATCTTCAATACTCCGAAAAATAATCCCATCAGACTCCTTTGCCCCTCCAACAGCGGGATGTCCTTGTCCTTTTTCCTTTTCGTCATTTCAAGCAATAAAAACTCTCGATCTTCTCTCGAATTATTAATATTGTTGGACGCCCTCGGTTCGCGTTCAGGGCGTCCCGAGCTGAATAAGGACGGCAAGACGGCCCCCTGGCGGAAACGCTGGTATGGATATTACATCCAGTGTTTCCCACAGATCTGAAATATACTTGTGGTGGTAGCCGATAACCGAGGGGGGGTGCATAAGAAAGGAGTTCCCCTAAGTACCCGAATAGCTAGGAGCCCATCTCCAATATTCCGGCGCGGACAGAAAACCACTCTGGCCAGTCCCCTGACCCAGCCCCTGGAGGAACCCGGAATGTCCCTCCAGAAACCGCAACCTAGCCCCCGGCAACAAACCCAAGACCTGACCCCCAGGTCGCTGTCGAACTGGCCCACCCGTCCGACACGCGTGACATGATCCAACATGCCGAGACACATCTCTCCTCAAACCAGGCCAAAAGAAATACTGCAACAGGTAACCACGTGTTTTACGGACACCCAGATGTCCCGACTGCCCATGCGCTTTTCTGAGGACCTCCTCACGAAACCTGACAGGAACCACAATCTGATACACTGGCCCACCAATGAAGCCTTTCCCACGTGACCACCACTTTCTGACCAGCAATCCCCCTTGCAGCTGACAAGCCCTGGTGACACCATTTCCATCCCCGGTGGAGAGAACCGCCTCAAAAAACAGACTGTGGCGACCTCACCCTGCACCAGACCAGAGTTAAGCACAACAGAATGCGGAGGAACAGGCACAACATTCATTCCCATACCTCGCATCCGGACAAAATCCCCAGTTCCAGATTTGTCCGAAACCAGCAACTCCACCTGCAGCTTCGGCGTGCTCCCGAGCTAATAGCTCTAACCACTTTCACACCGCACTAACAGCCCCCCCTACGACCTCCAAGGAAGACCGTACTAGACCTAACAGGGACAGATACCACGGTAACTAACGATCTGTGCTCATACTTGCTGCCATACAATCTCCGTGCACTAGAACTGCGAAAACACTCACCCCCGCAACGCTACTCCCAAACAACCAGCCGCACCCAGCGACGACAGCAGCTGCGCGAAATCCGTCCCCACAACGGACATCCAGTTGCACACGCTTCCCAGGTCCAAAGCAACGAGCCCCCATCTGTTACAACCCGGCTCCTGGGCTGCAACAAAAAGCAGGGAGGCGAGACGAAGGGTAAGAAAATAACAATTGTTTATTCTTAATAAACAATGTAATGAACAGAAACAGCCACAGGTCCCCGAGGCTAGCACGGAGAAAGTGCCCAGAGGAGTCAGAGCGACATATCCGACTTGCTCCTCCTATATCCTCTTCAGCGTGGCTCATCCGGCAGGTGCACCTCATCAGACAGATTGCAGCTGGGACCTGCAATCACACACAAAAAACACACACAACCAGACGGCACCCCACGTGGTGTGGAGGGGTCGTCACAGTAGTGCATGGTCCGAGAAGGACAAACAAATCAACGTAACACTGTAATATTATGGCGCATTTCCACTGCAGCGGGGTAGCTCCGTTTAAGCGTCCTCGCTCAGGCCTCGGGCTGCCTCGCTGGCCGTCCGAGGCCGTGGCGCATTTCCATTACAGTTTAGGACCTGGGGTAGCAACGCAGTGTAGGCGGGGCGATCGGCTTTTTGGGCAGAGCGACGCTGGGTAAAACTGCAGTGGCGTCATCTTCAATGCGACACAACTCACAAAACACACACAACAATGGAGGATGTGGAAGTGATCGTTTACTTGTTTCTTGGTGTGTGGCTTGTTAACATGCTGTGCTCTGCATAACCTCTGCGAGAGTCATGGAGAGGACTAAGATGATGGGTGGAATGCACCAGCAGCAGCAGAGCCTGGGGTAGCAGTGGCTCAAGGTGCAGAGGAGGAGGGCACTGACATCAGAGAGGGTTTGATGCGCTACCTGAATACCTAAATATGCATTGTATTGTATTGAACATAAATACATCTTCTTTTTTTTTCATATACATGTGTTTGTCAAATGTTTTAAACAAATGTTGTTATCTGAATTGAATATTTAGTAAATATTTGAATTTCAAGCACCAGTAAGTACTGCCCCATAATGAGAACATTTGAGGAAATATCAGATCATGAAAAGACAATCTTTCTAATCAATTAAGCGAATATCAAAGCTAACTATAAACATAAATACTAAAGTGTAAAACACAGCAAAACTATATTCATAAATGCAAGTGTAAAATAGTGTGGACAATTGTAAACATGGATGGAGGCTAAAGTATCCACAACATAAAATAATATATTAAAATATAACCTCAATCTTTCTTCTAGACATGTGAAAAGCTTGCTTGAATGGGTTATAGGTTTCTTCTTTTGTTCTCTCGTCTTTGAAATATATAAGGAATGTGTTGTTTGAGTCTAGTAGAACGAGGGTATTACAATTGCGCAATTTCTACTACATGTATTATGTATTTATCATGTATTCTTAATACTATTACAAAATAAACATGTAATAATGTTTTAGAGGAGGACCTCAAGCTAGCAAACTCAATTTATTGCTTTAAATCTCTTAAAACTAACTTATCTTATGGGCTTTTTCCTAACTGATGGTGTTCGTTATTGCTTTATAAATTCATGTATGTTTATATCTTCTCTAAATCAAGATTATGTGAATCTGATTTTTTTCTGTTGGGTGCAATTCATTATCAACAAGAGATAAGATAAGTCAAAGAAGTACTTTATTGATGGCAGTATAAAAATAAAATGTTTTTATCAAAAAGGCATGCCATTAAACAATACAAATAAAAAATGTAAAACTGTATTGCAGCCAGCATAAATATACATGGCATTGTAAAAATAAATATAAAATGCACATTTTAAAGAAAATAAATAAACAAGAAAGTACAAATATTGCATTTTAAAATTAACTAGATAAAAAATATATAATAGTATATAGTACAATAACTATTATTTGAAGTATCACGGAGGAGACAGGCCACGTCGGCTGCCACGTCGGCTGCCCAGTCCCCCTAGCACCTCACCAAGAGTGCGCAGGAAGGCTAGGTTGAAGGTCTCTGCTTGAGCGGCCTCCTCCCTTCTCAAGGCCGCATCCAACTCCCATCTCCGCTCAGCAGACGCTTTGGCCCAGTCCAAGTGCCGTTCCTGCTGGGCCATGTGCTGTTCATGGTGCCGTTCCTGCTGGGCCCGATCCTCTCCTCCTCGTTTCCTCTTGCCTGGGTGACAATAAGATAATAATTAGCAATAAGGAAAAAACACTGGACAGGTACAGGTCACACAAGGATATAAGAATAACATGTATAAACAGAACAACAGTAAGGTGAACTAAAGAAAGTTCTGGCCCTAGATGTTTACAATGATTGTGAATTACCTTATGTCCAGCCTGTTGATAATGAATATAAATATATGTATATGATAGGATGTCACACACAACTGTACTAGCTGCTTACTAGCTAAGACTTTACTTGTAACAGAGCATTTCCACACAGTGGTATAGCTCATTTTAATTACTGACGATGGATGATCCAAGGTTTAAAAACACAATTCCAGTCGTTTTGCCATTTCTATTTCTTACCTAGAACCACACGCTGCGGTGTCGTGATGGCACTCGGCGTTGGTGGTTGAGTTGGTGTCGGTTCTTCGGCTAGTGTCTGGTCGAGCTGGGGTCCGTTCTGGATTCGATGACGATGTTGTGGACGGAACACTGCCATCACCCGTTGTTCGGGAATGTTCCTCCTCACTAGTCCCAATGTAATCATCTAGAACAGCAAAATGACTTGTTAATTCCACAAACTACTGCAGCACAATACTAAATAGCAACAACAACTATAGAAAAGAAAAACTGAACGTAAACAATGGCACATATGGTGTTAGCAAACAATAGCTCTAGCTAAGGCTATCTGCCTAGGCTATCTGCCTTAGCTAGCTATGTAGCTCTTCGGGGCTCCATAAAAGCATGGGTTGTCGAACATTAATGTAAGGATTAAAATAGACTTATTTGTTAGAAGTGAGCGTACCTTGCAGGGACTCCAGTAAAGCCGTTGCAGAGTCCAGGCCTCCCTCCCTCCCAACGTTGGCCGGTCTAAGGCCGTAAATCTGGTCCAACAAGTCGAACCACTTCCATTGTTTCCTACCCGCACCACTCGTGTTATTGTTGTCCTTTACTTGGCGATATTCACTCTTCATCTTTTTGAGTTTTTCCCTACACTGCAGGAAAGTCCTCGACAATCCGCGTTCGGACATCTGTGCAGAGACATCCTGGAACACTTTCACATTTCGCGTTGTTCCGTCGAGCTCCCGCTGGATTTTATCATCCCCAATGAGATTAACTAGTATAGACTTTGAGGTATTTGAGGTATTTGGTCCAAAGCAGAGTTGGGTTAGGCACTCGGATCTCTTACTAGTAAACTAAGTAATACTACACTGTTGAAATACTCTGTTAGAAGTAAATGTCCCACATTCTCAATTGCACTAAAGTATTGGCATTCAAATATACTTTGAGTACCAACATTAAAAGTACTAATTATGCAGTATGGCCCATTTCAGAATCATACATAATAAGTTATTGTTTATATTTATCGCTGCATTAATAAGTTCATCATTTAATGTTGCAATTTGCAAAGGTGGGGTTTATTTGAATGACTTTATAAATGGCTGGGATGCTTAACCTATATTAATCTAAATGGTCATTTAGATTTTAAGATAAATGTAATGGAGAAAAAGTTCTTCTAAATTGTAGTGAAGTAGAAGTATAGGTAGCATGATAATAAAATACTCAAGTACAATTTTGAGAATGTGTTAATGTACCTAGTTACTTTCCACCACAAGTATCTTGATATCTTCCAGGCATTTAAATAAATAAATAGATAGACAGACAGATAGACCAATAGACACTTTATGGATCCCAGTTGGAAATATTTGCGTTGCAGCAGCATACAAAACACAAGGCAATGTACATTGAAACTAAGGCTGGAGCCACACGACGACGCAAACGGACCGAAATCGATATCAAAAAAGTCTTCCGTCCACACGCAATAGGCACCAGAAACTTGTCCGTTCACATGAGACCGATTTGTTATAGAGAGTTATTGCAGTGGGCATGAATGTTTTCCTGTATCTCTTGTTCTGACGTGTTGTTTCTCCGTGTCCCAGGGGAGAAGAAGTTTGTGTGCATAGAGTGCGCCAAGAGGTTCATGCGGAGCGACCACCTGGCCAAGCACATAAAGACTCACCAGAATAAAAAACCCGGCGTCCCCTCCTCCTCGTCTCCGCCCACCAATGACACCATCATTACGGCGGACGGCACCACGCTCATCCTGCAGACCACCTCCCACGACCTCAATCAGGAGATCCCTCTGCAGCTGGTTACCGTGGCGTCCGGTGAGGTCATGGAATAAGGGGGTGAGGCGGCTTTTTGAGAACTGGCCTATCACAGGGACCTCTTGGGCTTTTCTCTTTCCCTTCTTACCTTTTTTTTGTTTGTTTTTTACATATGAATATATACGTAAATATATATGACAAATATATATATTTTAAGTAAGAGTTATCATGACTTTATGTTTGTTTTTTGCAGTCTTTTTATAGGCGCGCAAAAAAAACAACATTAAAATGTGATCGCTATGTACACCTATAAACACACACACACACACACATGCATTAACACTCAACACACAACATGAATATTCAACACGATGAAATGCCTTATTTTGTATCATACTCTTGTATAAAATGCTGGAGGTGCATGTGTTTTTTAAGCTTTGCAGATGATGTAACTGTAATGGAGATAAATGCGTTTGTGAAATGATTATGGTGGTGCGTTATGAAAAGAGAGGAAGGAAAGTAGGGAACCTCTGGGATGATTTTGAATGTTTGTCTCTGGAGAGTTCTGACTAAACCGAGCTGTCTGTTTGAAGGCACTGCTGCCGCCATGAGGAACGCTTTTGTTTTGAAAAGAATAGTTCAACAGTTTAGGAAACATGCTCTTTTGCATCCTTTATGCAGGGAGTTAGATTTCTCATCTAGATTGACACCACTCCTGTTTGTACTGTAAATATGAAGCTAAGTGTTAGCTTAGCGCAGCACACAGACACAGGGAAACGGCTAGCATGGCTGTTCAGAGGTGACACACATCAGTCTGACAGCATCTCTCAAGTAAATTAGGTAAGAGGGTGTATCTTGTCTGTTTTATCTGTACAAAAACAAAGTGTAAAGCCATAAATGTGTAGTTTTTTTGTTGGGTTAAGTTGCAGATTATTTGCAAGGCTAACAGTGCAGCCTTGATAAGTAGTTATTATAACCTTGTAAAACAGGAAACTAGCACTTTTGCACTGCATATTTTGTACAAATTATACAAACAAGATTCAGTTTGTTCCCTTTTTCACAAGAGATGTGAACAAGGGAACATTAAAGATTCTGGTAGCTGGATTTTGTGACACTTCTAAATTATTCTAGCTAGCTGTTTCCACCCGTTTCCTGTTGTTGTGCTAACTTAGCTAAGCAGCTGCTGGTGTTTACTGTACAGACATGTGCGTGGTGCCAATGGTCTCTTCTTACTTTTGGCAAGAAAGCAAATTAGCATTTTTCCCAAAATGTCTAATCTTTCTTTAATAAAGCCCAGCAGCTGTGGGCCAATCAGTGACAGCCACCGGGCGGGGCCTCTGAGCACGGCGGGAGTTAAATTGGGCACATTGTTCGCTGATCTGATGCTGGTGATGGGAAATAGATGCAAGCCACTCTGAAAAAAAAGGGGCAACTTCTTCCAGCGTCTGGTCAGCGGGAACAGAATGTCTCATCTGCTCACGAGCCCGCTGTGCTCGTCCACGTCAAACACGTTTTTTATTTTCCTTTTGCAATGTCTTTGTTGTAAATTCACATTGTATTTCAGTTTTTCTGTGTCGCCGATCTCGCGTGTCGTCTAAATCGAAGTCACATGTTGGTGATCCTGTAATGTCGAGGGGTTACCTCTGAGTTCCTGCAGGGCTCTTTATTGCCATCGTCATCTGCACGCGGCTGCAGGAGGAGAACGTGCACAAATTGTTGCCATGAGAAGAAGAAGAAACGGAGAGAGGCAACGACCCCGAGGTGTTTGTCATCATTCCAGCTGATGTGGGATTAAGTTTTGCAATAACGGCTCTGCTGGTAATTCTGGCCTGATGTCACTCAAGTCAAAAGGAAAACAATCATGCCATTGTTTGTCGTTTTTATTTTAATTAATGTAATCCTTTCCTCAGTTTGTCCTCATGTTTGTAGCATTCATTTACATGTATATTATCTTATGTTCACATTGTTTATAGAAGCCATTGCTTAGTTAACTGCTTTTTGTTGTATCAAAACCTTATTTTAAAAGTGATTTTTTTTTTAAAGAATTGGTGTAAAAATTGAATGTTACTTTTTGTAAAACCTTTTTTCAAATGGATCACAATAAAAGTCTCAAACCTTCCAGAAACAGGGTTTATATGTGGAAGGCAAGTTTAGAAGAAACGTAATTTGTCCACTCAGTAGGAATATGATGTGTAATAACGAGGCAAATATTTTACTACTTGTTTTCACATTTTAAACTGGATAACGCAATCTTCACAAAAAACCTACTCTGTACTCTGCATTTTACAAATGGTCTTAAATTGAAGTATTAGAAAGCTTTAATCTGTGCATTTATCACTTGCTTACTACGTTCTTATATAAGCAACAAGCTTTTTAAAATATGATGCCTCTTGTGTAAATAAATGTGAATGCCTTTTTATACACAAACTTAATATCTTCAGCTAAATCATGTCTACACTGAATGACTTTAAATATATGTCAACATTTCCATATATTGTATTAGGTTAGTTGAAAATTACGTTTTTATTGAATCTTAAAATTACTTTCAACTAACCTAATACAATTATCTGTTTACATTAATTTAAGTAAACGTTGAAACGAGTGTAGGCAAATCTGAAAACACATGAAACAGCAACATGGAGAACTTCTTAATTAGGGATTTTTATTATTTAACAAAAACCAACAGCCAGAACAGGATGATGTCACATTCATTAATGTTACCCCAAAATGAAAGGTTTTTTTCAGGTACGTCTTTATTGTCACAGCTGCTCTTCTCTTACAGTACCACTCTCCCTGAGTCAGAGACATTTATATTCCAAGACACTGGGGGTTCAATCGAGGCTGCTTGAGCTAGACTACATTTTCATGTCAATTTCCAGATGAGTGTGAACATTACCACTCATTTCCTAATTCCATACACATTCCCTTTAAGTGTTGTGGAGTTTAGATGGGACACTAAAAGTCCCTATTAGTTTGAGGTAAACTAGAGTGCACAGCACAATGCATCATGTAATGTATCTAGCTTTTTATTTAGCATGTTGCCAGATGGGCTTGCAAAACATTTGACTTCATAATTCAGTGGTATAAAAACAAATTGAGTTTAATCTGATGAATAACGGGATCATAGTTCACTTCATTGGACACCAGTTTGATTATCTTCTGTGATTTTTGAATTCATCTGTCAAATCGGTATAAAAAACCTTTTTAAATGTCATTATATTTATTTCAAACATTAAGCCTATTATTAAGGTGTGAACATTGGGAAATGATCTACAGTCTAAGTGTAAGCCTATTGGATTGTACCCTTTGTATTTCTATAAGTGATCAGAAATCCCTCCCAGCTTTACATGTTTCAAAATAAAACCCCCGGGAAACCAGCAGAGAGATTTTCTAACGCTCTCCTCCCGTTGTGCTTCAACCAAAACCAGAACCAGTGCAAACGTACAGACTGACATTTATAATAGGGGAATAAAACAAAGGTCTTAAATTCACGATTTGCTTCACAAGATACATTCTCACCACTTTCACACACGCGTACAGAAAAACCTCTTCGACCCGCCCTTTTCCCTCCCCGTCACACGATATAAAAAAAGACGCAGTGGTGTGAACCGTCTAGCAGTGGTGTGTCGTCTGTCAGCAGGCGGGAGGAAGAGGAGCCTCTTCAGGACTCTTTAAACAGAGTCCAGTTCATCACCTCGTCACAAAGGGTCCTCACAACTCTGTGTGAGCGTCTGGAAGAGAGAGAGGTCAGTCAACACGATGGATGTGATCAGGTTAGAGCAGATGAATGTTGTTCTTACTTTACATGCAAGTAGGGATGGAAGGATACAGAGTGTTATAAAGGATCATGATAAAAGCACTGAGTTGATCAGGGAGAATACAATTATTGTAATTGACATTCTCACATGAAAAAGTCGTAAGAAAGATTTACGATGTTGCTTTTTATTTATGCCTTCCTGCAAGATTACCTTAATGATTATTGTTAACAAAAAAGTTACCAAAAAAGATTCTCTAATGCAATGAAAATATATATTTCCTTACAAAATGAAAGGTAAAGAAGCCAATATGTTTAAGTGCCATTTTTGAGCTTTAATAATATTTTAGGGATGGGACCATTTGTATTGTGGATTGTTGTCATAAACACTCTGGTTTGGGTGGATTCCCGTACATGACTGACTTGAAAAAGGGCTGTCTAGCTCGCTTTAATGATAGGAGTGAACATTAAAGCTTGATACAAAATTATAATAATAGGAAATTAAAGAAATGAAGAGCTCACACCATCACAGTGATTTCTGCTGGGGCACATTATCATGTTTTAATATAGTTTGTTTTTCAATAAAAAGACGTGTCCTATCTTTGATGCAATAAGAACTTCTCTCAACAAAATGGTATGTAAAGGGATCCCAGTATGATATCTTCATACTTTTGATGATTATCGGGATAATATTGAGAACCCAGGATAATCATGACATAACCTCACACACCCTCCCAGCCTACTCACTCTGCTCTGAGCGTTCAGTACCTGTTTCCTGCTGTTTCTTCGTGTGCTGCACTTTCTCCTGCACTTTGGTCTGCATGCGTTTGATCTCCTGGTCGTAGTCGCTCCACTCGGCCACGATCCTCACCGCCGCCTGCAGCTTGGGCTCCTTGGTCTTCGGGTTGTTGCACTGAGGGAAGAATGAGCCGTTATTACTGTTGCTTTAGTGATCTCTCAGCAGGGGGAGAGAACAGGCTGCATCGCTGCACGTGGTCATTTAAGGAGACCATTGGAGCTCAAACTGATCTGTGTCACATCTACCACAAAGGAGCTACTTCAAAGGCTACGGTTTGCTCCGCGCCGGACAGAGATTCAGGTGAGGAGTCTCATCAGATGGGAAATTGCTGGTGATATCTTAACCAGTGATGATGGGGTAAGATCAGTGGTTCCCAAACTTTTTCAGTCGGGCCCCCCTTGGGTAATTGAAAATATTTCCGGGACCCCCCCCAACCCGGTTCCCATCTATATTGGTAGGATTTATTGTATATTGTTGTCAAAACATTACATTTTCTCTGCTGATAATAAGAAGATATAAAGATCAAACCATAATTGTATATTTTATTATGGATTACACATGAACAAAAGTGCTTGTAAGATACTGTGAATGAATTTGGCCTAATTAAAACTAGCAGGCCTTCTTCCCAGAGTAGTAGATTTTTAAATTCAAATTTCTTTAAGGAAAATATATGAATGAACTCCTATTTCTACTGCAGGTTGCAAACGATCACATCACTTTACCATTCCTATTCCACACATAGCCATCAATGACTTGTGTGTGTTTGCTTTCCCTCGCAGGTCTTCTCAAAGCGGGGCTGTTGTTTTGAGACTGCCACTCTGTTCATTCTCAATGTTCAGCTTTGATCTGTATTTCGTTTTGATGGCAGCAACAAAAGCCGATCGCACACAAGTAGGATGTTGCAAAAGGCGGCATTATGCCCACAGCTCTCTGACCAATGAGATATTTCCGAGCAGTGTTTGTTTACAATTGAATAATAATAATATTAATAATAATAATACATTTGATTTATATAGCACACTTTAAAAAACAACGTCATCTCAAGGTGCTTCACAAAGCTAAAAGAAGAAAATAATCAAATAAAAAAATCTTCCCGCGCCCCCCCCCCCGCAGCACCTCCGCGACCCACCAGGCCCACAGTTTGAAAACCACTGGGTTAGATGATGGTAGCGGGGTGTACTGTAGGATTTATGAGACTGTTTGGTACAGTTTAGTGTCTGTCTTCCATTATATTCCTCCATTACAGACAGGGCCGGTCCTTAGCATTGAAGATTAAATTGAAGCATTAAGTCCTTAGCATTATAGATGTTCGCCTAGGGCGCCAGATCTGGGGGGTCGCTGCGCTGGCAGCTCTGGGAGGGGAAAAAAAAATGTTTGACCGTTGGGGCTCATCCCAATTTTCGGCCTTGATGTAACAATATTCATAATTAAGTAAATGTAACACCCTTTTCACCCCGGTTACACGTTTCATTTGCCCTGTACAATGGGCTCTGTAAGTGATGCAAATGGGGGATGTTGGCTTATCTGGCGCCCGCAGCTCACAGCCAACGTGCGAGTGAGCGAGCGAGAGAGAGAGAGCACCGGTACCGGCACTGTTGTTATTAGCATCTGGTGCTAGCTGCGCTAACGGATATAAGAAGAAGATGTTTCTACAACAAGGGTGGACGCTGAGAGGCTCAGTGAGGTAAAGGACTCTGAGTGTTTAGATAGCTCACTTTAGTCTAAGTTATCTCAGTGGGTCTCAAACGTTTTGATCACAATTTATGTAAACACATATTTCCAGGGCACCCCTTTATAATTATTGGGATAAACAGGTTTGAAATCATTTCAATGCCTACTATAGGACAGTAAATCAAAAACATCATTTCAAACTGGAGATAAAAAAATATGCATAAATAAATGTTAACTGGTAAAATAAGATATGAATGAACAACAAAAATGAAATAGGCCTAAGTTACATTTATTTGTTATTGGCTATGGGTTATGCTATGTTCACATACTTATTTGATTATTAAAATGTAAGCCGATCTTTTTCATATGGGTGTTTTAGAGCTGTACCCCTAGATCTAGTCTCTAGTAATTGTGTGCTCAAAGTGCACCAGATTGAAGTATTTCACCTTAAAATGTTCATACAAAACTGAATACATTTGAAGCCTTTTTGATGTATATTACCTATGTCAATAAGTTTCTGTTTTTGTAGTGCATTTGTCTTGTACTTTTAGAATTTGTTCCTTATAAATGACACCTACTGTACTTCTGTTATCAGATTGTTGCAATGAATTATCACTTTTCTAACTAAGACACTGAACCCACATCTAAGTAAGGGATCATGTGCAGCGAGGCGGTCATTATGGGGAAAAGAACACCCGACAGGCTCGTCAGGGATCCCGACGCGAAGAAATAGTTTTCTCGAGGAGCTTTTTGATTACAGATTTGAAAACATCGTTGCTTGCTTTAAAGGTAGCACACTTCATTATGTCAAACCTTGGGAAGTATCTAGATATCCCTGCCCTAATGCCAAAGGAACTGCACACTGAATATGTGTCGCCGTTTGATGTCTATGTCTGGACCG